CCACCCCAGCCCTGCCTGCTCCCACCACCCCAGCCCTGCCTGCTCCCTGTGTCGCCACCCCAGCCCTGCCTGCTCCCACCACCCCAGCCCTGCCTGCTCCCACCACCCCAACCCTGCCTGCTCCCACCACCCCAGCCCTGCCTGCTCCCACCACCCCAGCCCTGCCTGCCCCCACCACCCCACCCCAGCCCTGCCTGCTCCCTGTGTCCGCCTGCCCTCCGCGCCGGCCTGTGTCAGCAGGTGAACTCCTTGGTGGGCTTCCTTTGCACTTTCAGACCCAGACCTGGTATTTAACGTGCTTCCCATTGCTCACCGGGATGGAGTCAGAGTGCACACATGCACTTCTAATCTAGAAACTTGGGCCACTGTGTCCTGAGTTGTCTGTGTGACTTCACCCTCGGTGTCTGAGGAGAGCAGTAGTCTGGTCTAGACTGTTACTAGCGCTGGATGAATACACCCGAGGTCCTCACGGAGCGCTGGCACCTGTTTATCCGCGCTGCTTTTAGGTTGCAGAGTCCCCAACGTGCCCAAAACAGACACGCTGAAGTGATCACAAAGCCATAAAAACCTTTCCTATTTTTGCCATAAAAGGCTGTAATTACAGTCTGGAGAAAGGACTGCTGCGAGATATAAAAATAGGGAAATGAGCAGAACACATGAATTAATATTTCCTTTTTTAAGTGCTTGGCAATTTAAAGCCTAAAATACCTTGGGGGTGGTTGGTGGAGTGGCGGCTTGCTTTGTACCAGTGTCTGCCCCTGAGTGCCTTTGTCTGCCGTGGCTCGCCTCTGCTTTAGTCCTCTGTTGGGACCCTGCCCTGCCGGTGCTGCTGCCCTCCACCCGCCTTTCCCATGGGGCTTCAAATGCCTGAGGGTGTGACCTGGCTCTCCACGCTTGAGCGGGCTGTGGGGAGCCTCGGTGGGCTCTGAGCCTGGCCCCCCAGAACTGTCAGAGGCTCAGCGGCAGCCTGGCCTCCGGCCGTTGGGGGCTCTGCCCGGCGCGCCCCCTCGCTCACTGTGTGGCTGACCTCAGCCTCAGCTTCCTCCCCTCCAAGGCAGGCTGGAGCTAAGAGAACAGCGTGAGCAGAGCATGGGTGTAGAGGCGTGGGTGGGGCCATCCCCACATGCACCATCACCACCTCTCCTTATTTTCTGTCACACTCTCCAATCTCAAGGCTCAGATCAACATCTCCTTTCTGCTTTGAAGAATCAGCAAAACAAAACACGTTCTTATCCAGTGACCTAGGAAAGGGTTCTGGACCAGTCTCTGTGTGTGTGTGTGTGTGTACATGCACATGCGTGCGTGTGTGCATGTGCATGGGGTCCCTGCAGGTGGCGTGTTCAGGTGCTGCTCTCATTTCTGGTTGGCGCCGGCCTGGCTGGGCCGGGTCACTAACGACAGCTGTGTGTGTTGCAGTGGGACCCGGAGGATGGCCTTCCTGGCTGCGGCAGCCGAGGCCTGGGAGAAGAGGCGTTGTACGACAACGCGGGCCTCTACGATAACTTGCCGTCTCCGAGAATCTTTGCTCGCTCCTCCCCTGCTGACAGGAAGGCTTCTCGGCTGTGCTCTAACCACTGCAAGGCCCCGGCTGGCGGCCTGCCCCGCTCCCCCTCTGTCACTAACACCTCTTCCGTGGGGAGGGTGACTGTCGGGCTGCACACGCAGGTACACGCATGCTCCCCCATCCCCGCGCCCCTCAGGAGCCGTGCCGCAGGCTTCCTGGGGTCCTGGGGCGCCTGGGCTGGGCCCTTCCCAGCCTCCCAGGGTCCAGCACCTGTGGGCTGAGCGCGGCCCCGCTCTGTCTGCCTGTAGCCCGAGCTGGGTTCTAGATAAAGAGTCAGAGGCTGAAGGAAACCACTGAGGGAAAAAAAAAGTTAGGTTCTTGTGTCTTAATGTTGTGTCTGTTTCCACAGCTCAAGGGCAAAAAGCCTCCCGTGGCATCCAACGGGGTTCCCGGGAAAGGGAAGCCCCCCAGCAGTCAGCAGAAAAAGGCAGAGTCCGCAGCAGGCGTGAAGCGGACGGCCTCCAGTGAGTTCTGGGTCTGCTCTTCCCCGGGTCCCCCCCTGCCCATCCGGCATGGCTCAGGCAGTGCTGTCCGAGCTGCCCGCCAGCAGAGTCGGTCAGTGCGCATGTGCCGTGCCACGCTCCTGGCGGCATGGAATACCGAGAATACCCTTCTCCCCAGCCGAGCCTCCAGCACGGTGGCTGCAGCAGCCGCTGCCTTCCATCTGGCAGGGGACAGGCGCGGTTACAGTACAGTCTGCCTGACTTGGCAGTTTTCCTGTGTGGACAATGTGTTGGGGACATAGCGGAGGTCCCTGGGACCTTGCAGAGCCTCCTAGTTCCCCGTGCTGTGCCAGCCCCCCTGACCAGCACGTTTGGGTGGGGGGGGGAAGGGGAGGGTCTCCTTTTCCAGGCAGCAATCCCAGGAACCCTCGCGGAGAAGCGAGGACACTCAGGCCAGGGACGGAGCTCAGGTCGGGAGGTGGCTGTCCTGGTCAGGAACAGCTGTGGCACTGAGGGACGGGGGCTGGCAAACTTTGGGTAACAGGCTCCGGATTCCAGCCTTGTTAGAGAGGAACTCATGGGGGGGAGAAGCAGTGGTCTTCTCTGAGAGCATTCCATGCTCGTGTATTGAGTGGTGGCTCGTCTTAGAGAACGTGGCCAGCGCGTCTCCTGCTCCCGACCAGCTGCGGGCTTCCTCTGGCTGAGCCCACACAGCTCCCCGCTCTGTGGTCCCCTCTGACCTGAGGGCCAGGCACCCCGCACGGCCTCTGCAGAGCCAGCTAATCCCCCGCACTGTCCGTTCAGATGCAGACCAGTACAAATACGGCAAGAACCGGGTGGAGGCCGATGCCAAGCGGCTACAGACCAAAGAGGAGGAGCTGCTGAAGAGGAAGGAGGCGCTGCGGAACAGGCTGGCACAGCTCCGCAAGGAGCGGAAGGACCTGAGGGCTGCCATCGAAGTGAACGCCGGTAGGGCACTCCCCCGCCCCCCGCGGTGGGGATGGGTGTCATCCGTCTGTCTCCTGGGGCTGGGCCCTGCTGGGCAGCCCACAGCAGGCACCCGTGTGATGGACGGCCCTGTTGCAGCCCAGGCCCAACCCCAAGCTGTCAGCTCGAGCCCCAGGTCCCAGCCACAGGGAAGACCTCTGCCCACCATCTCGGCAGGCGCTGCCCCCGTGTGGGCGGAGCAGCCCGTGTCTGCAGGAGGGGTGGTCTCTGCGGACACGCACCTCCCTCAGGTCCCCACAGCGCAGACCTGCTTTCCACTCCACGAAGGGTCTGGCCACGGCTGAATCCTAAAAGGGATCGGGGAAGAGGGTGGCCAGCGGGCCGGCTGAGAAGGTCAGCTAGTAAGGCCCAGCTATGGGGAAGGGGTCCCAGGCCATGCATTCCTGCTCTGCAGGGGTTTCTCACAGCCTGGCCTCAGTTTCTAGATGTATCTCCCCTGGGGTGAGCCCCGCTCCAGACTTAGACCAGGCCTGTCCAGTTCTAGGTGAGCCCTGGTCCAGATCTATACTAGACCTGGTTCAGGTCTAGGTGAAACCCGGTCCAGATCTAGGCGAGACCCTGTCTAGATCTAGGTGAAATCCAGTCCAGATCTAGACAAGATCCAGTCAAGACCTAAGAGAGACCTGGTCTAATGCTAGACCAGACCAAATCCAGTTGTAAATGGTACCTGGTCCAGGGCTAGACAAGAGCCAGTCCAGAGCTAGGTGAGTGAGGCCCAGTCCAGACCTAGGTAAGACCTGGTCCAATTGTAGACCAGACCCAGTCCAGACCTAGATGAGACCTGATCCAGATCTAGGTGAGACCGGGTCCAATTCTAGACAAGACCCAATCCAGATTAGTCAAGACCCAGTCTAAATCTAGGGGAGACCTAGTCTAGATCTAGGAGAAACTTGGTCTGGTTCTAGATGAGACCTGGTCCAGTCTGGGTTCTTCCAGCCGAGGATATGAGGCCAAAGCTTCTGGTTAGCTTAGTACTCCCCACCCCCATCCAGGCTGAGGCCCTCACACCACTCGGACCAGTGTGCAGACCTGTCCCGACTGCTCACTGGGTGGTAACTGGGGTGGAGAACAGGAGGGGCGGTGCAGGGCAGGGTGAGCTGGCGGGAAGTGCGGGGCACAGGTCTGGAAGCAGTGTGGAGTCGGGATGGGAGCCGCCTTTCCCAGCCTGGTCTCTAGTCTGCAGGGCAGCGCTTTGCAGAAGAGCTCCCGGATGTTGGGTGTGGACAGAGTGCGCAGGTGTGGGTGGCACTGGCGGGCCCTGTGTGTGTCTGCCGCCCTTGGGGGGCAGCGCGTGGCCTGGCCCCCGTGGCAGGTGAGTGGATGGGAAGCACGCACGTGCCTCCTCGGGACCTGTCGGTCAGCAGCACCCTCAGATGCACCTCGTGCAAGCCGTTGCGCTGGGGCCCCCGCAGCGTGCCGTGGGGCCTCACACACCGCGTGTCCCGTCTCCCAGGCAGGAAGACCCAGGCAGCACTGGAAGACAAGCTGCGGAGGCTGGAGGAGGAGTGTAAGCAGCGGGAGGCCGAGCGGGTCAGCCTGGAGCTGGAGCTGACCGCCGTCAAGGAGAGCCTCAAGAAGGCCCTGGCCGGCGGCGTCACCCTGGGGCTGGCCATCGAGCCCAGGTCGGGCACGTCCAGCCCGCAGGTGAGCGGGCGCTGAGGTGGGGCGCTACGTCCCAGAGGCCGGGCCTGCTCCCGGCTGGGCGTGGCCGTGGCGTCGGGCACACTGGCCTCCTCACCAAGACCTTCAAGCGGGGGGATGCCGGGCCGGGCCCTCTGCGTGGCTGACAGCAGGCCAGGGTCTTTCCCTGTGGGACCAGGTCCTGTCTCCCAAGCAGCAAGTGAGGCACGGCACACTGACGTCACGCCTGGCGCGGGGTCTGTGTGGGATGTGATCGTGGGCTGACGCTGGTCCAGGGTGGTGTCAGTGAGGCCTTCCAAGGCCAGCCCGTGTGCAAGGGCCAGCGCCGAGCACAGGAAGCAGACAGCACTCCCTGCCCCCCCAGCCTCGGCCTGCCTCCCCCTCACCCCGTCACCGCCCTCCCATGCCTTGGCCTTCCCCTCCTCCATCACCCCCTCCCATGCCTCTGTCTTCCTCCCCCTCCCCCATCACCCCC